TGGCGTGTCATCACCGCCGTGTCCACACAGATGATCCGCGAGGGGATGGAATTGCAAATAGCTGCGAAAGGGAATGAAAGCGCCGCCGCATCGTAAAATTTCTGATCGTTAATTAGTCTGACACGAGAAAAAATAACACAAAAACAACCAAAACACAATCCTAGAAAAGATTAAAGCGAGATAAAAGGATGCATCTCTTTTTAGTTCTGCAAGAATTACGCAATAAACAAGTCATTATTTCGTCGTGCATTTTAAGTTTCGACATGTGTTAGTCCAGGGGTCTGCAACCTGCGGCTCTGGGGCCGCATGTGGCTCTTTGGTCCCTCTGCAGTGGCTCTTTAAAAATGTGACCAAACATAGAATAAATAGGTTTTTTATACCCACAACAGAAATCAATTTGTATGCAAATATGTGATCAATACTACTCATAAAAAAGTAAAACGTTAGCTCATGCTAGCCTGTTGTTTACTTAAATAATACAACTTATTTTTCTCAAATCCATCAGAATTACCTTTAAAGAATTTGAAGACTACATAATAAGAAGAATTAGAAGGAAAAAAAATGCCTGAATAATTCAGTTGTACTAGTTTTTATGAAATTCGTCATAAACTATATACAGTATTTTTCTTGTTTACATGAATATGGTCTTTTTATTTGTCCCGATGTGTATAGTAATAAATAACATAATAATAATAATAATAGCAATATTTTTTTAGTTTTATAATGTCACCTCCACTGGCCGTGAAGGTTCCTGAAAAGGCCTTGAAAAGGCCCGCAGACCACCAGTTGATAATCACAGTTGTAGCTTGTTTTGTGGCTCTGGACACATTTTATTAGTGAGACAAGCAGCAGAAATGTCTCTTAATTGTAAAGGTTGCAGACCCATGTATTAGTCAAATTCAGTGATGTTATTTAAAAAATAAGGTTAAAAGTGATGTGGGGACACACTGTGGTGCAAGAAATATAAGAAAACAAAATAAATTTGATAATTATAAAGCACAAAGGTGATCAAAAAACCATTTGTATCGATTTGTGCTGATCCTTTCTCCAAGGGGACGAGTAAAACCCTGTAAAAGCATGCTAACAGTGCTCTAACAACATCACGCACTCAGACCTGTTTTATCCTCCTGATGAAGGATGACTCACAGGGAAAAATGACTTCTTTTTCTTTTTTACCTCCACACCTCTCTGGACCGGCATCTGTGTTTTTTTGCACCACTGAAGTCTTAAATGTGCATTCATCTGTGTAATGAGAGGTTTATGCACCGCAACCCCTTTAAAATATCCTTTCAGTGTGTAACAGTGGACGGACTGTTCTTGCTGACACAGTCTGATCACGTCCTGTGCTGACATTCCCATTCACCTGAGGAAGTGTTACTCGTCTGCTTTCCTTAAATATCCCACTGTTAAACGAGCAGTAAAACCACTTGGACACTCTTTTCAAGGCTGTTTTTGTCCCAATGTTTCCCCCAAAAAGAAATCTCACTGCAGACGCAACTGCGGTCATTTTATTTCTAATATCATAGACATTTTATTTATTATTATTATTATTATTTATTTCCTGCAATTGGTGCATTAACACGCACAGACTGTGCACGTGTACTGAAGTGAATGCTTGCAAAAATAAAAAAGCACAACTCAGCCTACTTGTATTTAAAATGCCTAATTATTTTTTTTTTAAGTTTAATTTGAACTGAACAGCATTTTTAAATCTTCTGTCTCCGGTTATTCAGAAACCAAATCTAACCTCATTAAGGATAAATAAGAATAAAAAAATAAGCTGGTCTAAATTAGCTTACATTTATTTCTCAGGTGTGGGTGTTGGGTGTCAAGGTGGGTACAAGGTAGGCAACTAAATAATGAACGTGACCCAGAATACAGGTTGTGTCTCAGTTCAGGGGTTGCAGCCCATGTAGACTGCGGCCCAAGTAGGCCACACCCTAACCCAGTCTGAGTAGGCTGCATATAACGGCTGTGAAATGAGACTGTCTAGTCCTAGGATGTTTGCGTGACCACGCACTAACTCGTTACCACTGTGGTGAGTTTTATACACGCATTTGAACAAGTATGTATAACTTCACAAAATTCAATGTATTATTTAAAAACTTTACACATAAATAAAAACATTATTAATTTGGGTTTAGCGCCAGTATCAGTACTTGTGATTGCATTTTATCTCATTGCAACTTATTGCCTTACAGGGGCAATATTATGTGTTTTTCAGGCATATATTTAAATACTATACCATAATAAAGTATCTACAGTATGTCACCTTCAGTTGTTATTAAAATGCTGTTTTATGTTGAAATAGAAAATAAACTTGTCTTCATCACTTCCTCTTCTAAACGCCTTGAAATTGGCCTCTGTCTCTTTRAGAACCACCTTCCTCTTCTGTCTCGCCCATTTCAGTGCGGGGGGCGGGGTTCGCGCTCGCGAGGGGGGGGGGGCTGCTATCATGCAGTTTACTTGGCATCTGAAAATACATTTCCTCAAACGTATTTTTAATCTGAAGAGTTTCACTGATTGAGAAGTAGTACAGCAGACAGTTTCACTTTGAGTTTCACCCGAGAGCCTGCAGGAGTCATGGACATGCATGAATGAGTCAAAGCAAAGCTTTGGGCATGTTTTTATGAGAGTATAACATTATAACATGATATAAAACTCAAAAAAGTTGATTTTACATGATATTGCCCCTTTAAAAGTTTAATCAGTAATGTGAAACATAAATTTAAGAACAAATTATCCAGTTCGCAATGCAAACTGGGATATCATCGATGGCGCAGGATACTCAGATGCAGCCTGCGTTTTTTGGGTTTTGTCGGCCGCATGAGAGGAAGCTTACGAAATGGGACAACCCTACCACGCAGTGCAGTGACAGTTCTGCGAGTCATGGACTTAAAACAAGAAAATGCGCAAATTAGAATTTCAAAAATAAATTTGCTCAATGGAAACACGTCAATTACGAAAAAATATTTATTTTTCAACAAAATGTTTTTGCGCTAGGATGAGGTGGTTTTTGATCGTATCGAAATTGGTGTTTTTCGCAAAACTGCAATGGAAACAGTTTTTTTGCATCACGGGAGTCACGTGATCAACAACCGGCTGTTTCTACTGGCGAAAAAGACTACGACGAAGAAGATAACAGGAAGTAGAAGTAGAAGTAATATCAGAGAAGTAGTGAAAGAAAATAGTAAACTCACCGACTACAATTTCCCAAAAACACAGCATACGTAGCTGTTCCCAAGTAGGGGCTTGCCACTGGAAAGCCTCGATAAAAGACGCCGACGTCTCCTCTGATGATGAGCGCTAGTGTCGTGGTAGCAACAAGCTATTTGTTTACATCCATTGCCGCCATGTTTGTAATGACTTATCGCAAGAACAAATGTATTCACGCCTGACTTTAACAGCATTTCTTACTTAATGGAAACACTGCAGTTGCGAAACTGTTTTCTCGACATTAACAGAATATCGACAAAGTTTTGCGCACATTTGCAATGGAAACGCAGCTTGTGACTTTCAACTGATCGTGCAAAATGTGGCCACACGACTCACTCGGTTGAAAAAACTCAGAAATGAAAATTTGTTATTTTCTCGCTATTTCAAATCGCCAGTTATCAGTTGCAGTCCAGTAAGACACTGACCTTAGTGTGGCAGCTAGCTTTAGCATTATTGCTGCAATAGCACTTTCACAAAAAGACCATAAAATTCTATAAAATAACCATGTAATGGGAAATTGACAGTGATGTAGAAGTTTATTAAATAGTTACTACGATCTGCAAAGACATTATTTTAGATCAGAGGTTGTTCTAAAAGACAGCCGTCCACTTTGATCTTGGCCCCGCTCAAACAGGCTGTTAGCTCATCAATACGCTCTCAATTAAACTCTATTTCACTAAACAGAAGTCATTTAAAGAGCTCTCTACAACAGGTCAAATATAAATTGTTCGTAACCTTCCCACAAAAACCCCACTTCAAAAGATGTAAGCTTTCCTTTTAAGCTAAAGGAGGCTGCTTGGCCGCGTGTTCCGTCAGTAAATATCCTCACAGAGACAGCCATCTGAACATGTGCCTGCTCCTCTGCATCACTAACAACCACAGCTGACAAATTGGCATTACATTTCTAAACAGTCTAAGCCTTTAAGACATGCCCACAGGCTTATTAGCATGCACCAAGTTGGGGGAAAGCTCCTCAACAGCATTAGCTGACAGGCCCCTCAACTCTGCATAAGCAATGTTCTCTCTATCAACCACTTCAGCACAAACTCAATCAATTCCTGATGCTTAACACTAACCCAATCACCTTGCGCTAATGCCGTGCCACTTTTGCTTAGGGTAATAAATGAGAAATGTCCACGAGTAACCTGAAGACACTGACAATCTGCCAAGACGGGCAGCAGATGGATGAGGGTAAAAGGGGGAGGGTCATAGGGGAAGCAAAGCTGCGAGGGTAAAATAAGGTTTTGGTTGTTCTAGGACAGGGAAGGGTACAGGCTGAAGAAAGAGGGCGAATGTGTGAAGAGAGGGTGAGAAAAGAGGAAAAGCTGCCAGGAAGGGGATGGGAAATGGCTGAAAGAGAAAAGAGATGGGGGGAAATGTGAGGAGAATATATCCGCAAATTACCAGTAATTACAGCTGCTGGGGGAAACATTTAGAAGCTCCAAAGTAGATGGAAATATGCTCCAAGATCATCATGCACAGATATTATAATCAGTGACAGTGTTTTTTCAATTTATTGATCTATTCTTATAAAAAAAAAAAGGCGGCTGACATTTGAATATGCCAATATGTTTATTTCACTGAGAGCACAAATGATTTCCTTCGGTTTCTGCAGAAGCACTGATCCAATACTCAAAAAAATACCCAGATACCTGCACATTTCCATTCCTCCTGTTCTGCTGTTAAAGTTCTGTCTCATCAACCATTTGATTTCCATCAGTGAGTTCACAGTTCTATGCTTGATGTGCTGACTTCTGTCTCTTTATCTGTTCTTTCTTTTATAGGTTTAGCCCCTATGAATGGTACAACCCACATCCATGCAACCCAGACTCGGACGTAGTGGAAAACAATTTCACGCTGCTCAATAGTTTCTGGTTTGGAGTTGGGGCTCTCATGCAGCAAGGTATTTGCCTCATCCTGTGGCTGCTGTTGCTCTGTGGAGCTGAAGCTCTCTGTACCCCACTGTTCCCAAGGGCTGGATATGTTTTTAACAAGCCGCTGGCAAAAGAAAGGGACCTCTGAGGGCTTTTAGCAGAACTCAGCTCAAGGTTGATGCAAACTAATCCTAAATCGAAGATATAAAAGATGTTCTATGCAACTTGAGTAGAAACTAAATAAACTTTAAAAGTGTTTTTATTTTGAAACTCCCTAAAATTGACAAACTGTTGAGCTGTCCAATGAGCAGTTTGCTTTAAAGATGTTTTTCTGCCTATATTGCAAATAAAAGCTATATTGAGTTATTAAAATACAGTTTGCATGTCTAAAAATAACTTAAGTCTCAGTCTTGATTTATTTTGTTTTATTTCAAGACATATTCATTTTTGTCTACAGTAAATGCTAATATTTCATTGCTGTTTAATCAATCAATGCACTTCTGCTTTGTCTGTTTTAGTATAAATGTTAGCTTCTCAGCTAAAATCAGAGCTACAAACAGCATAAAACTGAGTCCTTTGAACTAAAATGTGAACATAAAAAGAAGAGACCTCCTTTAAGATTTTTGAGAACAATAAAAAAAAATTAAACAGCATATTTAGAGTGCCAAAAATAAGAATTTTCCAATAATTTAAACAATGCATCCAAATTMAATAACTTCGATTAGGGGAGTCAAACTCAATTTCACTTAGGTGAATTAACTTTGACATTTTGTATTTAACTTCAACTAAACACAAAACACGCATTGCTACGACTGAGCACYACTAACAATTATTGAGCTCTACCTGGTATTTCCTACATACAAACAGCATTTTAACACTTCCTCTTATAAGCACTGAAAAGCCCTACGTGTACAACTGACTAAAAGTGAAATAAATAAAACAAATACTAGTAAAAGTAAAAAGCAAGAGAGTTTTACTCACTGATGAGTTTTGGTGAGTAGCTGCCATCTTGAATTCTGAACTTTCCTACTTTCAGACAGGGAGGGGCGTTTCAGTTTAAATTCACGAGTTGTAAGTGGGAAATTCCCACCTCCCAGTACAACTGGGCCTCATCAAAATGGAGTTTCCACTGCAAATTTTTGCCGGCTACTTTTGAACCCTGTGCACCTCCACCTGTTGGTGTGATGCTGTTATTTCACGAATAAAATAATCATCATGCATTATGTGAGATGTAGTTTATGGTCAATGCTGRCTTTAGCAGCATAYGCCTATTTTAAGGCATTAATACATCTTTGAAGCTCTTGTGGGCCACTTAAAATGCCATGGTGGTCCACATTTGGCCCGTGGGCCTTGAATGTGACATAGATGATGAATCTACTGACACTAGCTCTTTACAAAATGTCATATTTAAGGTTCAATATTCAGTAAAAAGGATTAAAACAGCTGTATAACTAAATTAAACAACATATCTATTCGTTTTTATRTACTGAATATTCACTCTGAACATTTTTAAACAGTACAAGATCAGATTTTAACTAGATAAATTCAGTTTTAATGTTCATGTGTTGGACTAAATTAATYATTATTCAATATTTTTAAGTATCCCCTCCACTCTACCAACCCTAAAGTTGTTGTTTGGATGATGCAATGTATTCTTTGTGGATTGTTGCCAGATTTAGGGGAAAAAAACTCAAAGTGATCCAGTCTTAGCAACAGAAGCACTGACTGTAAAACTCTGATAATATGATGATCCAGCTGCCGATATTCAGTGTCCTGTTCTCCTGCCAGTGGCCTATCAGCACCTTGAGATCAGTGGGGTGTGGAGTCAGGATGTGAGGTTACCTTGGGTGCATGACTCTCTGACTCAAACAGCCTCTCACTTTTCCACACTCTTCTGAACAATCAATGCTGACTGTGTTTGATTTGGAATAATTGATTTATGCAAACACTTTGTTCCCAGCAGACGTTTTACAGAGTACTTTTGGGTTTCTGCCACACTTACTTCAAGACAGTTTAGCTTGTTTAAAGAGTTTGAAGTCGTCTTGTGTTTAGAGGTCTTCCAGGTGATCTAATCACGAAGACAAAAGGCGAGTCTGCCTGAGCCAAGACTTGAAGTTTAGTCACATAAGAAGATTAGAACCATAATGAAGACATATTGAGACGAACATGTTTCTCAGTGTGACATTCACTCCTGCCACCTCCCTCGCTTCAGGCTCAGAGCTCATGCCCAAGGCCCTGTCGACTCGAATAGTTGGAGGCATCTGGTGGTTCTTCACCCTCATCATCATCTCCTCGTATACAGCCAACTTGGCTGCCTTCCTCACCGTGGAGAGGATGGAGTCGCCAATCGACTCTGCTGACGACCTGGCCAAACAAACTAAAATCTTGTACGGAGTGGTGGAGGACGGCGCCACAATGACATTCTTCAAGGTAGTGACTTTTGTGGCCCTTGTGCTTATACTGATGAAGTCATCTGAAAAAGCTAGATTATCATGAGTATAACCAGTGGTGGGCACCAGTCCGCTAAAGTGCAAATCCTCTAATTGCGGACCTAAATATTAGGGCTGTGTATTGGCAAGAATTTGGCGATACGATACATATCATAACAGAGGGGTCACGATACGATATATCCCGATATATTGCGATACTGTAAACAAGGCAATATATTGAGATATACTGTCCAAAAATTCTATTAAATAAAAACCTCTTACTGAAAAAAAAAAGAAAAGCTAATGTTTACTTGCAATGCTAATGCTACCCTTACTCTCTGGCGCTCAAGAGGTAGAGGAGCCAAATGGCTGGCTCACTGCTGCCAACTAGTGGTAAGAGGCTGAACTACAACATAAAAATGAACGGCTGGCAGGAGAGTTGACATTTTAAACCTTAAAAAAACCGATACAGTGCTTTAGAATATCGATACAGTATCGGGAAATGAAATATCGCGATATTTCAGTGTATCGATATTTTCTTACACCCCTACTAAATATTTCATTTGCGCTTTAGCGGTCATACTAATTTTTACAATTCATAAGCGGATTTGCGCTTTCTAAATTTAAAATGCAGTACTGCTAATAACTAATTATCTACCAGTCATCADTATCTTGAACAGCRGAAGGTATGGCTGTCAATGAATCACAACACATGTGATTTATCCAACAGCACCCCTCCCAGATAAACACACTTAGTGGGAAGGTAAACATCTTTGCTGAGTGTTACTTTTGGCCACGGTTCTGATTTCCCACAATGCTTTGTGTCTGCTTGCATAGCAGGAAGGCAATGGCAAAAACAGTTAACGTTTGTAATCCATACTAAAATTTTGTATGTATTGATTTATTTTACTTAACAATCGGAGCTCCTTTTTAAATAAAATAAAGTTTAAACGCTAGAGCTCAATACTTGACGTAATTGGTCTAAGCAACGGGGTTAGAGTCTCAGAAATGATTTGAAGATGTTATGCTGGTGAAGACAGACATCTAGTGGTCAACTGGAGCAACTACATGGAATACTTTAAAATCCAAGCTCTTATTTTGAAGGGAAGATAGTTTCCTGTACTGCGTGCTTTTGTTTCCCATCACAAATCAAATCTGTCATGTACCCAGAATGCATTGCTTCAGTTTTCCAATAAACAGTTTTAAAATTACTTTATTGATGCTCCTTTAATGAAAAATCTACAACAAACAAAAGAAAAAGACAAAGAAGCAGCTGAACTAGCAATCCTCAACAACTTTTTAATTTTTAYACCAGGASCTAAAGGTCTGTTTCAGGAACTCACATCCCCAGCAATCGGAGGTTGTAGGATTAAGTCGTAAAAGAGTTCATACACCGCTAGTTTGCAGTGTTGTACATATATTGTACCTGAATTGTTGCCAGCTAATGTCAAATTGAACTTGCGCTTTGAATTTAGCTTCCGCTAGTTTTTCTATGACATAAGCGTTTTTGAAGTTGCGGACCTAAATATTTTCATAAGCGCTTTAGAAATTGCGGAGCTAATTTTTGGATTAGCGCTGCCCACCACTGCTTGTAGGTAGTTGAAACATGTTCGCTGAAAACAATATGAATGGTACCAGTGGTCTGGCAGTTTGAAGTGCAGCTCGGACACTGGCCACAACTGCAAGTTTGATGTCTTGTAGGGAAACGTTAGTGGAATTAGTTGCATATGCTGCATTAGCTGTTGCTTTTGTCCAGAGTTATATAAAGCACTTAAAATAAATAACTAAGTAAAAATAAAAACACCTTAACAGAAAATGACTGGTAAAAATTGATCTCACTGATAGTACTTATGCCAAATTCATAAAACTGCTCACAATATTCAAAAACGTAAAAGTACTTTTACATACACTAAGAAATTAAGCGTTGAATTTACACTCTGTCCCCTCGTTCCATTTGTTTAAAGAAAATGTATAAATTGCTCTACATTTACTCAACTTGGTTTAGTGAAATCCGTTGACGTAAGTTGGTTAAGTAAATTCAACACATCATTTTTAGAGTGCATAAATAACTCTTCATGATGACTTCTGGTCAGATTTAATTTTGTAGCACAAAAATAGGTGTTAAATTTCAAAGTAAACATGTAAAAATGTATTTTCTATGTTTTGAATGTAACAAAATAAAAGCAAAAGTTACAATAAAAATACTTGGTTCCCAAAATAGTGAGGACTGCAACAAMGTAAATGTACTTAGTTACTGTACACCTCTGCTTTCGTCTCAGGATGATGACATCATCRTTTGGGCACAACATTTAAGATTTTACTTTTACATTTAGATTTACACATTTACATTTAACATTTAATAAACTTTAACCAAATGTCAAAACTAAAGCTAAATTACAATTAACATTTTATTTTACATTTAGACCGTTTTTATAGTATTCATACGTTTATATAAATAAAAAGGGCCGATTGAAATGTGTTTTTGGACTACTGACAGACGATACAGCCCACACAAGGCATTAACAATGTATGACTTCAAAATGTAAACAGCACAAAATGATCAAACACTTAGCAAGATGGCAGCCACAGATATCACCTAGCACCGACAGTGGCCATTTCAGTGTATTTCTATTTTAATGAGATCAACTTCACCTCTAGGGCCAAAAATGAGCCTTCAATGCAAATCTAATACACCCAAGATTTATCAAATAGTCAGTGAGGGTTGTTTTTTGTTCTGGTACTGTGGAAAGTTTTACTCCTCTTGCCTGATCTATAACCACGGAAAATATTTTCTAAATAAGTTTATGGTTTTATCACCAGTTTAAAGTTTCTTTTAATGTTTTATTTAATACAACATGCTGTCCATTTTGTAAAAAATTATTTCCTTAAAGAGAAAAACATACATTAGCGTGGAGCGTAGTTGTGTGATGTATTGTATGTTTCTCAAGAGATAGAACAGTAGACTTTGCAGCTTTGTCTTTTTGTTCCAATTTTTATGACTAACCTGCAACAACAAAAATACTAAAAATAACAATTGTTTTCATGCGTTACAGTTGCAGCCTGTGTTTGATTCATTGCTTTTATGTAAGAGAGAATAAACGATCGGGGTTTTGCAAGGTGAATGCTTTTAAAACAGGAGCATTTGTAAAGATTTGGTAAACGTGAATGAAACATAAATGTTTGATGATGCTTCTGCAGAAGTAATTACATATTGCACGTTTGTGAAATGGACATTTGTTGTTAAAATTCCAGACATGAATGTTGCAGCAGTAAAAACAGCTCTGATGCTACCCTATGAGGCATAACATTATAATTTCCCAACTCTGTAGTTCTCTCTTTTCCTTGGCTAAGTGGGTTTCATGATAAACAAGCTGCGTGATAAATACAAATTAAGCAGCCGTTTGATTGACTCCTTTCCTCTGGTCACTTGCAGAAGACTAAAATCTCCACCTACGATAAGATGTGGGAGTTTATGAACAGCAGGAGGCAATCTGTGATGGTGAAGAGCGTGGAGGAGGGCATCCAGCGCGTTCTGACCTCCGACTACGCCTTCCTCATGGAGTCCACCACCATCGAGTTCGTCACCCAGCGCAACTGCAACCTCACACAGATCGGAGGCCTCATAGACTCCAAAGCTTATGGAGTGGGAACGCCTATGGGTAAATGACCTGAAACATAAAAGCCCCTTTGTGAATGCRTGTTTGGAGCGAGGGTTTAGACAAATACCACGATAGATAAAGTTATATGGTGCGGATAAGGTATGAGAACAGAGGGGTTGATCAATCTTTATGATGAGATCATGGATATGATGGTTTCTGAGTGGGCTGTAAAGCGTTTGGCTGAATGAGAAGCAGTTGGCTGAATTTATGAATGACATTAAAACGTGTCTGCATTCTCACCAGCATTACAAGTGTTTTGCTTTTTTTCTCTCTCTCTCTCTGTAACCAGAATGATTTTCTGACAGGAGTTGTTCCTTTAATGACTTGTCGTGCTCGACTTCGGGGTCACGTAGAGCACAAGTGTGAGTGCAACACAGAAAGTGTTTTAAAAGTCCAGTCGGGTAGTTGAATCCCTCTGACTTACTCGAAACTCTCCGAGTTGTTTTTGATCATTAACAACAAAACAAAGAAAAGCACTTCAGAGAGAATGAAGAAGCACTTGCGTCTGCTGAAAGCAGATCCAGCGTCTCAAGGTGCCGTCTCCGTGAGATGCTAAGAGGCTAAATCTTTCTGAATATTAGGCAACTTTAACCCTTTAAAGAAAACCCGACTGTAACATTACACTTTATTTAAAACATTTATTTCAACTGTAAAACAAAGACTTAGGCTGTGTAGTTTTATAACTTTTTTAAAACATCTGATCGCAAGGGTGGCGCTATCTTGTTTACGCCGCAGAGCATATCAAGTAATTGAGGTCCTCCAGTGCGAGGCTGCGAGCTCTCTCCACCATGAAGGTTTTATTTTTTGGACAATATCTAATGATTTGCGGAGAGCGTTGACAGAGAGGAGAATATAGAAATGACTCAGCCTGAAATTGAAAATGCAGATGGAGAACAACAGAGCTGCTTCATGGGAGGAGAAACTTRGCTTAGCATGTTAGCTTTTGCATTARCACCCAAGCTAAAACATGGTGATATAGCATTTGTTCCCAAGCTAATAATGTTAACTCAGGAACTAACGCATGTATATTACTAAAAGCTAACCCTAGATTGCATATATGCAATATATGCATTAGCTAGAGCAGGGGGTCTCAAACGTTTTGGGTCAGGGACCCCCTCATAAACCCCATGCTGTTTTAAAGTGCCTGTGACATGCATATAACTTCAAATACAAAAAGTCAAAAACATCTTTATACTTAAGAAAATTGCCCAAATACACATAATTTTACCCATTTTGTCACATAACTGGCCTATTTTCTTTTGAATTTGTCTCAGCCAAAGTAAGACAGGAAGTGACATCAAAGTGGAAATCTTTAATAAAATAAAATCTTTGGTCTTTGTATATTAAAACAATATCATTTAAGCTTTAACTCTCCTTCATCTCTTTGATAGAAACTCAAAATAATGTAAAGAAACATCAAATTCTTCTCTAGTCTGTGTTGACAGCTGTTGTAACAATGCTCCGTTTAAATGCAGACATTCCCCTTTGACATCACTTCCTGTTTCATCACATGCGAATATCTCAACAACTGTTCATCTCAGCGGCATGAAATTTGTTTTGCARTTTGTTATCAATGTTATCTTTCCAGCAATGCATTCATGTTTATCTCAAAAACTGGATGTCACAGGCACTTTAAAAGATTATTTCAACCCCTATAAATACCATGGGAATATATATTTTTATTTAGTTTATGTGTGTTTTATTAGTTCATTGTTCTTCATGCACTTTAAAAAATAAAAACCAAATTAACAATCTTTTGAAATTTTTTTGAGGACCCCAAAGATACCTCTCACGGACCCCTGGGGGTCCTGGGACCCCAGTTTGAGAACCTCTGAGCTAGACCACACACCGCAATACCTAGTAAACTAGTAAATGTCATAATTTACATTTGCTTTGCGGCGTAATATGCTGCTGTCTGCCTATGTGACAAATATTTTTAATTTATAAAAACTAAACAGCCTATAT